ATTGTGACACCAGATGTGAGTGGTGGCACTGACTGGGCAAATGGGCACAGATTCCACTGTGAGCCTGACACAGAAGCTGGCAGCAGTGGCAGACAACTAACTGCTATTCAATCTATAACAGTGAAAAAAGTTTTTTGTTTTTAAATGCAAGCTATTGTGACACCAGATATGAGTGGTGGCACTGACTGGGGAAATGGGCACAGTATGCACTGTGAGCCTGACACAGAAGCTGGCAGCAGTGGCAGACAACTGACTGCTATTCAATCTATAACAGTGAAAAAAGTTTTTTGTTTTTAAATCCAAGCTATTGTGACACCAGATATAAGTGGTGGCACTGACTGGGGAAATGGGCACAGTATGCACTGTGAGCCTGACACAGAAGCTGGCAGCAGTGGCAGACAACTGACTGCTATTCAATCTATAACAGTGAAAAAAGTTTTTTGTTTTTAAATCCAAGCTATTGTGACACCAGATGTAATTGGTGGCACTGACTGGGGAAATGGGCACTGTGAGCCTGACACAGAAGCTGGCAGCAGTGGCAGACAACTAAGTGCATTTACATTAGATAGAAAAAAAAAATCCAAAAAAAGCATACCCTTATCCCTAACCTAGCTATGCTTTTCCCTATCTTATGAACAGCAGCTACACTTTCCCTCCTCTTACTAAGCATGCAGCTTGAGAATGAATCTAAAATGGATGCTGTCCAGTAGGTGGGAGGGTCTGCTAGGGAGGCTGTGCTGCTAATTGGCTGGAATGTGTCTGCTGACTGTGAGGTACAGGGTCAAAGTTTACTCAATGATGACGAATAGGGGGCGGGTCGAACCGCGCATATGTTCGCCCGCTGCGGCGAACGCGAACATGCTATGTTTGCCAGGAACCGTTCGCCGGCGAACCGTTCGGTACATCACTAATGATAAGTTGTAGGCATTTTTGATGAGAAAGATTGCAGTTACCACTTACCACTGCAGTTCACTTTTTAGTATGACATTTCTTGCACACTTGCATATTGTGATGGCCAGCCAGGGTACAGTAGTTTGTAAAGTCAGCCAGATGCAGGGGAACAGCACTACCAAATGATCCTGATCCTGAGGCGCACCTGGAGGTGGAGACAGAGCCCTGACGTGGTGGCAAAGATAACCAAAGGGAGTGAGATGGAAATAAGGTCAGATGGTACAATGTTTACGTTGGGCAGTGAGTCAGGAGAGCTAACCGAAGTCAAAGCCGGGGGAATCAATCACTTTAGGGTAGGACAGGAGCAAGGGAATAACACAGGACTCCAAAAGTCTAGAGCAGGGCACTGATAACATCCATGCACTGTTAGGTGTAGGCATTATGGGATTAAATAGATGGAGTGAGTCAATAATCAGCACCCTCACTTGCAGGCGGAGCACCGCAGGGCTATGTAAGGCACTCAGGGACTTAGTGCCATTTTTGCTGCATTACTGTCCCTGTTCTGCCTCTCTATCATGCACAGCACTTACCTCTACTCCCAGACATACTGGCATGTTGTCCGTATGGCTGCCATCTTGCTGAAGCAGCGTGACCTCCTCCAACTCTCATGATGTCAGCATGGATTGGGAAGGCAGCAGGTAGGATTGACGAAGCCAATGTCCCTGTGTATCCGCCTCCAGGACATTGCAGGTGCCCTGGGACAGGCTAGTACTGTGGGACACAGTGACACATAAATGTAACAGAACGTTGAGCTTTTAATAAATTTAGATAATGATTAATCGTTTTATGCTATGTGTGTCTCTTATTATTGGTGCTGGGAGATTTCTAATCTCTGGTAATTTAACAAGAAAGGTTGAGATCTGGTTCTTCAATCACTGCATGCTTCCCTACACTACACCTGAAAATAATATGCCATACTATCATGGACACTGTGAAACACTAGAGAACCACTTGCAGGTTGGGGCAACTGCCACTGTTATGTCAGTGGTGCGGAACATCACACTGTAGTGGTTATGGTGCTTGGAGTATTCCTTTAAGATCTTCTGATTAGTCCGGATGTTTATTGATTTTTTTTGTGGAGTGCAGATCAATGCTCCAGCTTTTGCTGCTCAGAGACACAAGTTAAATATTAGGTTAACTCAAGTTTTCATCCTTCCCAGCTTGATAAAATGAGTATTAGTGAAATAGGTAATGTTGTCTATCCTCTATTGAAATGCTCAGTATATTCAGCTAGATTAAAATGTCAGATTGTATTATTAGTTTATCAATTTGGCAGTGACAGGAAGTGAATAAATCAGGAAAGTATTTGACTGACAAATGGACTAAAAAAAAAAACATAATTAAAACATACATATTAAGCGTTGACAAGATGAGTGCAAACGAATGTAAAATTAAAAGTGAAACTTTTAAAATCTCAAGTGCACAAGAAATCACATGTTAAGTTTGAATCTAAAATCTACCTATCTATTAACCTACTTAAATACAACATTGCCATTCTACAAATTGGACAAACTATCATCACTTTAAACTGTTTCACAAAGTACAAATGTATTGGTTATAAAGCAATTGGGGTAGATGAAATATTTGAGTAACAAGTCAGTTTGTTACAATTCATAAACACCTAAATTCAAATGTCAGCAAAGAGCCATCTCTACTTTAAATGCAAGATTGTTAAATGCTCATCCCTCATCCCGAGAAACTACAAATGTTTAATGGAAGAAGGCTTTAAAAATGCTGTGAATAGGATCATTTTGAAACCAAATTGAACCTTCCAATATTATTATATTCATATTACTTTAATCTCCTTGGCAAGTTCCTTAACACATGCTCTGACTTCTAATGAGTCATCACCTATAAAATATATCTATGTATTGAAATGATCATGTACATTAATATTGATTTAGGAATAAAAACTGTTTTAATTTGCTGTTGTGTTCTAAGCTTCCCTGTACATCTATTTGTACCTTGTTCAGAACACAAACCATTATAAAATAAAATTATATAATTTGTGTACATGAACCGTACATACTGTAAACATTGAATGGCATACCTACTGAACGTAAAGGTCATGAAATACAATTTAGTGTAGGAAATTGTGTCTAGCACGTGTGACTGGCATACGCAAGATGATACTCGATGGCACAATCTGTAATTCACAAAACATGGATAAATAAAACCAACCAGTAGAATTATGGCTCCATTAAATTACTCCCTATTATATTCTGTCATCTGTCAAGCATGTGCATGTAAAACTTTAAAATATAAAGTCATGTCCGTTAAAGGAACACTTGTCATGAAAACCACTATAGCTTAATGTAGTGGTTCTGGTGTCTATAGCCTGTCCCTGCAGTGTTAGCACTGTAAACACTATCTTTTCAGTGTTTTCTAGGAACACCTCTAGTGGCAGTCAGGCAGATGGCCACTAGAGGTGCTTCCTAGTCTGATCCTGCACAGTGTGCTGCATTGACATTCAGTTTCTCCACCCTCTGCATGGAGACGCTGAACGCATAGACAATGCATTTCTATGAGGAGAGGCTGATTGGCTCAGAGCAACATTTTGCTGCATATGTACAATAGCCACCCAATGCTTTCCTATGGGAAATCATTAAATTGAATGAGATCATCAGGACTGATGATCTCAGCCATGAAGGTGAGACCAGGCAGGGATAGCCACTGTGAGACTGGAACAGCGTTTGAGAAAAGGTAACATTTTAAAACTTTAATCTCCATGGAGAGAGGGGTTGGGGATCTAAACAGCGATTCCAGCACTGTAGTGTTCCTTTTAGTAAATTCATAATATTGCTGTGTTTTTCAAGTTGACTTGTGTAAAAATGTTCTGGTGAACTCATCATTTTTTCTCTTTGGGGTACAGGAGTGCTGGTTCTCTTTATTTATTATAAATGTGTATGTAGTATTTAAAATACTGAAGAATAGTAAATGATAGCCATTTATTTTTCACTAAAGCTAAATGGCTATAATTTAGCTGTTTTATACAATTTAAACATGCCAGTTTACAGGCTTCACATCAAAAATGATGAAAGAAGACTCAATGGAAAGAGTTGTAGCTGCAATCATCCATGCCAAGGCATTTACGATCATTAAAATGCAAGCTATGAAGTATTGAACAGTGGTTTTACTTTAATAGCAATGGAGGAACATATCTGGAAAGCTTAAAAAAAAGATATATGTACTGTACAGGTCTTATAAAAAGTCACATATTCATCAGACATTTGAATATACTGAGAAAAAGTACTGATTTGTCAAAAAAAAATTCTAATTAAGTTACATCCACCACCTTTCTCATGAGACATGCCTGGGAAAAGTCAGGATAAACACTGGAGTTAAATATCAACAGGGCAACACTTGTAGCATCTTGCTCGTACAGGACACAAGTAGACAAGAAGAAATACTTGGTTCCCTCAGACCTTACAGTTGGTCAGTTTTATTTCCTTATCCGGAAAAGAATTCACCTCCGTGCAGTAGATGCTCTGTTCTTCTTTGTGAATAATATGATACCACCAACCAGTGCCACAATGGGCCAACTCTATCAGGAACACCACGTAGAGGATTTCTTCCTGTATATTGCCTACAGTGATGAAAGCGTATATGGGAACTAACCCTACATCTCGATTGTAACGGACCGTTTTGCACAAAAGGGTAAAAAACGTTTAGGCGATCGGCCCCCTTTCCAGAGATGCAGGCACCGCTACTGCAGGACACCAAACACAAGAACCGCCAATAAGTGAATGCTTCAAACACCCGAACTGCATACAAGGGAATGCTCCAAACACTCGAACTGGAACCTCACGAATAGCTGCTAGCAGACGAACAGGAAAAGCACCCAAGCGGCTTACACTCCTGGCAATCAGTCTCTATCAGCATACAGTAAATCCCCCTAAAGACGAGACAGAGCTCCATGTTGAGGGTCAAGCAGTGGTCTGTTTAATGAGGGCTACCTGCCCAGTATTTATGCAGGTCTCCCACCTGGTGGACACTCCCCTAGGGGACCAAATGGGAGACTGTGACAAGGGACAGACAAGTAGACAAATAGGACACACAGTCACAGTATATTTCCAATATGCATCCTGGCTTCCTCCCCTCTGCCCTGGGAGATAATTGAGAAGTAATTCAATTATCTCCCAAGACAAAGGCAAAAACTCCATTACACACGTGGGGACACAAAACCAGTATTATACTTTAAAATACATAAAGTAACATTTATTACATAAAACACAGACATGTAACATATCCCCAGATAGCTCAGGTCTGAGTGCACATTATTAGGTGAATGGCACTCAGACCACACGAATACAGTTTAATTGCCATGGAGCCAAAGTCTTTAATTACACAAATAGGCTCCATGGCATAGCTATCTGGGTTAAAACATTCCCCCAACACAAAATACCGAATTTACATACATTCGTTAAATTGGTACGAATTAGAACCAGGGGCTGGAGGCTCAGCGGTGCTTAGCTGACACAGTGTCCAGATTTGGCGTAGGAAAGCCGGGCAGAAAAGCGCTGGCTGCCCGGGGAGCTCCAGAACATCGCCATCGTGTGGCGGCTAGGTGTAACCGCGACCACCCAGTAACAGTCAATTAAGCTGCGGTTAACCGCAGCTACTGGGTGGTCAATTGCCGGCACACGCTCGTTAAGCCGCGGTTAACCGCGGCTTCAGGGAGGTAAATGGAGGGCACACGCCAGCTTCTGGGTGGCCAATTAACGGCGCCGGCCGACTTCCCACGGCTCTGGGGAGGCTGATAGAAGTCTGTTTGTTCGGTAGATAGAATCTACCGAACGGCTGTGCAGAAAGGAAGGAATAAATCTTTCTGCACAGTAAAATTAACCGTTTAACTGCCGGTCCATAATCCAAAGGCAGCAGGCGGGCAATGTGGCGAGATTGGTCTCGTCACATCGATAATCTCCCACATGGCACTTATAACTTTGAGATCAGTTCTTCTTTTCTCCCCAACCTTAATTAATTTCTTAATGAGTTTTGTCAGGATTTTGTCCAATTTCTTCCTGTTTCAGAGCGTCCCTCAGATCTTTCCGCCATTGGCTAATGTATTTGAGATAAAAATTATTTTCTAAATAAAATGATTACATAAGTAAGCTTTATACCAAATACATTTACTGTTGGGCAACACTGTGTCTCAAATCAGATTAATCAATAATTAAATTATCAAGTTACATGTGATCCCATGAAAGAAAGATGGTGAACCCCCAAAAGATGTCAGCAGTGGGCATTTCAAATGAATTTCTTAACATATCTTGAGTCAACAATGTACCATTTGAATGTAATCCTTAACTCTTGGCAAATCCTTCTGTTTCCACAAACCAAAATAGAGAGTGCTAGATGTGTGCACAGTAAAAACATTTGGTTGGACCAAAACGATTCGTCCCCAAAAAATATTTTGGTCCAGTTCAAAAGGGTTTCATCCATGGACAAACTGTAATGACACAAAAATTTGCCTATTAGTGTACTATAATACAAAGTAAAGAGAGTTTCTTCTCCAATTCCTCATGCTTTTTCTTGTACCATGGAAGTACCTCTAAATCAAGAAAGAAATTTAATAGCAATCAATAGTCTATTTTTTTTAATTTTATTTAGTAATACTTCCATATGGTGTTTCAGAGTTGCAGAATTCAGATAAATTACAATCACCCAAAATTTGTATGAATCACAATTCATTTGAAACTGGATGCACAAGTCTAGAGAATACTCAGCAAGAGAGAGCTAAATGTAAGTTCTAAATGGTTTTAAAAGAAATTATGAATGTTTAATTTCTATATAGATCATAATACCTTCAGTGTTCAGTTTAAAAAAAAAAATGTTTTTATGAATCAAGCTACTACATTTGTTTTCTTACATCACACAGGTTTATAAGGTAGATTGATTAAAGAAAACCTGGAAAAAGTAAATAAAAATACTAAAATAGACATTAACAAAAACAATCACGAGCAATGCATTAGCAAAATATGAATAGCTTCTTATGTATTCTCTTGAAATTATCTCAATTAATATTTCAACCATTTACTGAAAACAATATATCCCAAATATGAATGTTTATTAATATTTATTGCTAATTACTATATTGTTAGAAGCAATTAGAATTCTGGCTACATGTTTTTAATAATACAGATTCATGATATAAATGTTACCTTCTCATATAAAATATAATGATATAAAATATATTATCACACCCTAAAATTCCACATTACAATGTTCTTTTCATCTGTTATTTCTAGATATTTGCTGTGTCTCACAGTGGCGTTATCAAATTCACTGTTTTAAAGTGCTAATGTGAAATTTAAAATGAAGGGATCATTATTCCAACAGTTTTGGACACTGTTTTATTAGATTTTCAGTTGAGCCTGATTAATACATACTTTTCAAAATGTTGAACACTCTACAGAAAAATTCCATTAGTTTCCATAGTAATAGCTCAAAAGCTTGCACTTTGAGCAGATTGGCTGCATTTTTTACTTGATTCTTGCTCCATGTATGTTAGAAACGTAATAATTAAATTAAAAATGTATGCCCACATCCATATTCCAGCATTGGCAAAACCTTTAGCTCATCTCTGTGTTATGAGATATGGTATGTGCTTCATCAGAGCAATTTGCATTAACAGAAGAAACACGTTTTAATCAATATGAATAAAACTCATTATTTCACATTTGGAGGGGCTCATTGACCCCCCAGTAAACTGTCTTTTTCAAATTCACTTTTAAACTCACAGCCAATTTAAAAAATTATCTATAGATTTTCTTTCAAGCACACGGGTTACTCCCACATGCTTGCATGGTGGGAATGTCAAGAAGCAAGTTTTGTGATGGTTTGAGATACGGTAACTTGCTGACACAATACAATCTGGTTGATTTCTTAAATGTTAGGATTACATGAAAAGAATCAAATAAAAATGAAAAACTAGTTTGTCATTTGATTGATTTCATCCTTCAGGAACACAGCGAGTATCACAGAACTATCCCCTTTAGCACTTACCATGATTATTAAAAAAAGAGATCACTTCAAATAGGATTGTCATCGAGTGCACTGAGAATTGTTTTATTTCTGTAAATTCCTGAAAACAGCACGCTTGCCTATCATAACATTTATCAAATTACAGCGTGTTTTTTCTCTGCTGAATATGAATGGTTGGATATTTAATGTGGAACCAAACACTGCTTTCTCTCCTATTTTAACCCAGTATTCATCATTTCTTCTCTGTCTCTGTTTTCAAACTGTTAGTTAGATCTGATCGTCAATTACATCCTTGAGGAAAAAGTACACCATTCTTCTTTTGAATTAATTATTCAACCTTCTGTGCTAATAAAGCATGTTTTAAAAATATAATTGGATTCTTCAAACATTTGTAGACCAGCTAGATAACATTCCTTTTAAGCTTCAGCATCTGTTGAGTCCCAATCTCAGCCAATCAGATCCTTGATTTACCCTAAAGTGTTATAATAATAATTGTTCCAACGTGATTGGAAACAGAGATTAAAGAGGAACTCCACTTACCTGCAGCATGACGTGGTTCCGCATTAGCTCTCTAGTAGGTCAAAATGTCACTATGCATTTTGTTTATCTTACCTTTCCTCTTTTATTTTGCATGGTGAAATTGCCAGTTGAGTGACCGTTAACCCCTTAAGGACACATGACATGTGTGACATGTCATGATTCCCTTTTATTCCAAAAGTTTGGTCCTTAAGGGGTTAATGACCTTTTGCCAGAACATCAATTGAATCTTTAAGGATATGGTTTGTTTAGGTTTTTGGAGGGATTAGTGTTAGAATGTTTTAGTTGTGTTTAGTGCATGAGACTTATATGCAAGCTACTCACCCACCTTTGTTTTCTGTAGTCTAGTTAGGCTCCTAAGATTGATTATTTAGCCGCACTAGATGTTATATGCAGAGTGCATGAATCAATCCTGTTCCAGCTCCTATTGCAAGGCATTTCCTGTGTGAGAGGCTGTCAATGGGCAGATGGGAAGTGATCCTGCCCACTTCCTGTCCAGCCTCACACCGCACTGAGTTTTGCACCCTCTATAACTGTATCTAATTCTACAGCTCTGCTATCAAGCATAGAAGGCAGACTGGATTACTGAAGACACTGGTTAAGATTTCTGGCACTTACCTCTCCCTATGAGACCACTTTTATTCCCCCAAAAGGCACATTATAATAGATGAACACAGGCGACCCCTACAGGACCGGTGCCTACTCTCCCTAAAGGGTAAACACAGCAGTGGAGGACATAATTAAGGGCAAAAACTGATTTTTATTTCATTATTACATAAAGTAGAATCTCCATGAAAACCAAAAAAAATCTCTCAACAGTTAACAGTTTTTCGTACTAAATCTCCTCTTCAGCTATATGTTTGTAGCTGACATTTGTAGCTGACAAATTAAATAATGTATTGTGTTTGATCTAGGCATGTGCTATTTATTTAGCTAGAACCATGTATGGATGAAGCTTTTTTTATAAATGTTTTACAATTTCCTTTGGTTTGTATTCATTAGAATATCATTCCATTATTTGGTTACATTATTTTTGTGTTTCTTTAAAAGAGAGAGACAGTCAGTCAGCAGGTTGAATCAATTAAATATATGGAGGAGTTGCAAAATAAAAATTTAAATTAAATCAATAATCAGGGGGCTTTGAAAGCATTCAAACTATTATCTTAGAGATAAATTACATTTATTAATCCATTAGAATCCTTTCAGGTATACACCGGATATGGCAGTGCAATATTCTTGGTCCATCCTTTACAAGACTAGAGGAAAGGTTTATATCCAAAAAGCTGAATTTCTCTCTTTGATCATCCAATGATACTTAATAGGTGACTGTTTTTTTTAATATGTCTGTTTTCATATTGCAGTGAGAATTAAAAAGACATTCTATGCACCAAAACCATTAGAGCACACTGAGGTGGTTATGGTGTAAGGAGTCACATTAGCGTATAAAAAGAAAAATGGTAAAGCTGCAATACATGAATGGTTAAAGGGACACTCCACACTCCTACATCACATTAGCTTGCTAAAGTGCTTTATGTGTGAAGAGTTTGTCCAGTGTGCAAATCTCAATAAAACTCGGTACATTTATAAAATCAACTTTATCCCTCCCACCCCCCAGCTGTCAATCAGACAACGGGTCCTGTTACTTCCTGGTTTGGTTAGCTCAGTGAAGCTAAACTCAAGAGGCAGCAATTGCTCAGAGCACCTGTCTTGCCAAAGCTTCTAATTGATCTGCATTGGAGAGTCTGTTGTTGGACAGCCACAGAAAGTCTAGGCAGGTTAGAAGGGGAAGGCTTGAAAAGATTGCAGACTACAGATCTGCAGTTTTTGCAAGTTGTTTTTAGGTATACCTCAATAAGAAAAATGCATAATTAAATGCATGTAAGTATTAACCTGTTAAAGTAAAACATTTTCCATCTCCATTTTTAATTAAATTAGAAAGGCTGAGTGCAATAGTGATTCTCCAAGATGCCCAAAACACATGAATACTTCGAAAAGTAGTGGTCATTAAAAAAAATATATTTCTTATTGTTAAAAGCAGACAGATTCCAAAATAGCAAGGAGCCATGGTGACTTCTTACTGAATAAAAGTTAAACTACTGTATATACTCGAGTATAAGCAAAGTTTTTCGGCACATTTTTTGTGCTGAAAAAGCCCCACTCGGCTTATACAGGAGTCAGCAACTTACATTGCCATAATACAGACCAGGACCACCGGGCTCATTACAAGCCCAGCGGTCCTGTTTGGGGCTGGCCGCGAGCGGTTACTTACCTTTACAGCAGCTCCGGTCAGCTCCCTGTCAGCTCCGTGCAGCTCCCCAGTTCAGCTCACAGTGTGACACCCGCGGCCATCAGAGTGATGCCACAGGTTACTGTGGCAACTCTCCACGCTGCACGCAGACCGCGAGTCTTACACTGTGAGCTGAAATAGGGAGTTGCACGGAGCTGACAGGGAGCTGACCGGAGCTGC